AGAACATACAAAGATTGACGCAACAAAATGTGGAATTGGAGAGCGTGTTTAAGAACGCTTTAGAAGAGAACAAAAAGCTGCAGGATGCCGTCGATAGTCGTCAGAAGAGCTACGATCGCCAGAGTCTAGAGCGTGAGGCAGATCGTCAAAAACTCGCGGATGCCGAACAGTACGTAGAAACACTAAATAAAGAGAAGCAGCGCATTCAAACTCTCAATGAGAGCATTCAGCGTCGAGCCGATGATTTGGAACGCCTCGCAGAAGCCAAGACAAAGGAGCTGGAACAGTATATTGAAAAAACCCAACAGTTTGAGCAGACCAAACAGAAACTTTACGAGATTGAGGCGAAGGTATGTACGTACGAGCGCGAGAATGCCAGCTTACTGAAAGAGGTGACAAAACTTAAGGAGAGCAGTGAACAAAAGTCTGTACAACTGGACGAGAGCATCAACAGGCTGGACACCCAAGCCAAAGATATAATGAGGCTCGCCAAAGTACAGGAGGAGGCGGAGCTAGTGCAGCAAAAGCTTGTCGAACTGGAAAAGCAGAACCAAGAGCTATGCTCGCAGCGCAACATTGATCAAGAAATGATAAGCACGCTACGCAACGATCTGGTTAATGGAACGCTAGTCACCAAGAAGGTGCGCCACAATCTGGAAAAACTCGGACTGGATGGCAACGAGGTCGACGGTGAACCGTCTGAACTAAATGTAGAGCATGTGGTGGAGAAGCTGGTACGCAATCCAGAAACCTTTAAGACTGTGCGCGAAATTATGCTGAATGTCAATCGTGAGCAGCAGCAGGAGGCGGGCGTCAAGTCGGACATGTGTGTACTATGTCATCGCCAGGAAATCTTTACCGTGGAAAAGAATATCGAGCTGTCAGCAACGCCTAAAGGGCCCACAGCGCAGGAGTTGCGCTTCGAGCACAAACTGCATCTTAGGCCGTCACGTGATTCAGCGGAAATGGCACGTTTGCAGGACAGTAATACGCAGTTACAAACGGAGAATGCGCGATTAAGTGTAGACGTGGCAGCATTGAGCTCACAAATCACTTCACTCAATACTCAGCATGTGGCACTGCAATTGGCTAATTCGCAGCTGGCCGCTGAGAAGGATACGCTGTTGAAGGAAATTGATGCGCTACAGCAGGAGCACAAGCACGCGCTGCAAGATCAGGTGACATTGCAGTGCCTGCACGATCAACTCTCTGCTGAATATGAATCGCTCAACAAGGACAAGGAACAGTTAAAGGCGGCTGTGCGTGATCTGCGCCAAGAGACGCGTGATGCGCGCGAGACAATCCAATCGCAGGAGCAGCGCATCGAGGAACTGGTCGCACAGACCAATAGCATGAAATCCTGCCATGAAGATCTTGCCATACTGCGCACTGAGCACTCCAAGTTGACTGATGACTTCCGCAATCTCTTCGCCACTAGCGATCGATTCAAGAACGAATACAAGAACATTCAGGAACAATACAAAATGATTCGCGTGGAGCACAGTAGTCTTAAATTGCAAAATACCGAGTTGACTGGCGAGCTGAATGCCAAACAGGATCAGGTACGTCTACTGCAGATCGAATACTCAAAGGTTCAGCAGCGTTGCGAGGTGAGTTGCTATTTTTGTTTTACCCCATTTTACATTCGACTAATCGATGCATTCCATCTACCAGATGCTTATACAAAACAATGCGGACCTGGACTCGGAGCGCAAGGCCTTAATGGACAATGTATCACAGCTGCTGTCGCAATACCAAGAATTGCTGGCCATTTCATTGGAGGACAAGAAGCACTTCCACGAAGAGGAAAAGAACTACACAGAACGAGTGCACAGCCTAAAGCGTCAAAAGGAAAAACTGGAGGAGAAGATAATGGAGCACTATAAGAAATCGGAGACCACAGTGCAAAAGAAGTATGTCACAAGATAGTAAATCTAAGCGGAGCACTTCTAATTCCAAATATTCCACAGAAAACCATTTGCCAGCAGTCTCGTTAGACGTGTGAAGAAGGCCAGTTCCGATTTGATGAACAAAGTGCCAAGTCGGGTAAGAGTAAAGTAATTCTTTGCATGGCTTGAGCGCTTAGCTAAATCTTGATTTATTGCAGAATCGTCGTTCGTGGGTTGATGATGCTCGCACCAATTCACAGTTTGTCATTGGCTCTGAATCGGGTGGCAATGAATCGGATAATAGCAATGAGGAGCCACTATCCATTGCGTCCGATACGCATCTGTTACAGCGTAACATACCACTGCGTCAGAGTCTACAGCGGTAAGTCAAATATTATTCGGACTATGGGCTAATGTTAAATCTGTGGAAGATTTCATTTACATTTGCTAGAGTAGAGATAGTACTAAATTATTTATGCTATACTTTACCAAATAATTGCAAAATGGAAGATAATCTTATTTCAGCTTTGGCTGGCCAAATGCATTTGCTTTAATGGTTAAATGATGTATTTAGTTTTGGTTTATGGCTCTTGTTTTATTTACATGTATATACACAACAACAATATCAACAATACCATCAACTTTGCACACACACTCGCACACACTGTTTATGTATGCATTGTACATGTACTCTATAGGGATTTGCTGGATAGCTCCATACAACGCGGTGGCACTGTGCGAAGTAGCCTGCAGGCACAGAAACGTACGGATTTGAGTAATTCACGTAGAAATAGCGTGCACGGGTATGCGCTTTTAAATGTTTAACATACAAGAAATTCCCAATAAAAAATGTATCCCACCTTCCCAAATCCTTAAATGTAAAGCTATGCCAATATTTGTTTGTGTTTTGTGGATACCTCCCCTTTTACTTTCAATTTGCTGGGTATTTCTGGTTACTAATTCCTTTTTGCTTTCAGCAGACTTGAACCGCCCGACGTAACTGGCAGCAGCTTAACCCTGGGTACCGCTGGCTCGCGACGCACCGTTTATTTGATCGATGAGAAGCTGCCCGATGGCTCCAGCGCCGCGGCACAACAGCCGCAGGCAAGTTCAACGCCTACGCCAAACAACAATGCTACAGCAGCCGCCACTGCCACCACTGGCGCTGAGCCGCAAACACCACTGAAGAACGACAATCAGCCAGCCACGTTTCTCATGTACAATCGCATCAATACAACCATTGGGACGACCAACGACCAGAGCCCACTCTTACAGGCCTCGGGCAGCGGCGGCAGCGTCGCCGGCAGCACTAATCAGGACGATAAAACACTGCGCAAACGAAACGAAGATAAAAGCAATAGCATTTGGTATGAATACGGCTGCGTTTAGAGCTTCTCGAACACAAACACACAATGAAACATACAGACAAACAAAAACAAACTGCATTTGCTGACGACGAAGTATTATTTCGTTTTAGAAAGTAACGAATTTATGCCTTAGCTTAACAGAAGAGAAATTTACTAAGTGCTTCTTATAATGCTATGATTTGCCTTAAGCTACATACAAAAAGGTCTGCAATTTAATACGTAGCATCTATATTATATATATGTTGTGTTTTACATTTAGACATAGTTTAAATAATAGTTATACAATTTATACGTATATATATATAAATATATATATAACTATACGAAGACTAAACGGCAACTGTGCGAATTCAAAACTATTTTTTAGCATAAATTATACACACCCACATTTATCCATGTACTTATATGTATGTGTATACCAATACCGAAATGTAAGTCCATATTACGTCCACAAGATGAACTATTATTGTATTTATTATGCATTTCATACATTAAAAACTCAAACACTCGAATATATTCCTACACATTTTGTATACTATACAGCTAACAGCTAACGAATGCGCCTTTAATTTGTGAATACACACATATATATATAAATATATATTTTTGTAAGACTAAAAGTAGTTTAAGCGGTAATAACTAAACACACAGTAAAAGCTATAATTCTTTAATTTATTGACAAATACCTAAATACGCAATAAACCACAAACATAAAGTTATACATAATTGAAGTGTTTTGAGTCTCTGTACGATAAATTAAGATTATTTTTTCTGCTCAGCATTTTAGTTTAAGATTCCATTTGGCAGAGGTGTGATCGTAACTGTGGAAGAAGGCTATTCCGAACTGTGGTATCTTCAAATATGTATTAATCATTCCAACAATCAAATACTATTAAAAATATATTCTTTATAGATATACGTTCTGCACAATCAGATTATTTCAAAGATTTTAGAAATAATGCAAAAAATAAAGCTCACATTGAATACCCAGTTATATACTGCAACATATAAAAAGGCAATATACCAAATGGAGACCCTGTTCGAAATCTGTTTATTTATTATTTATAGTTTCATCTGATGTGAGAAGAAGAGAAAGCTCTGTCTATATAAAATAATTTTTAACTTAAAAAAATCTGTTATTTTTATGAATATTAGATGTAATATTAGAAGAGTCTACACAAGTAAGAAAGCTCTAGTCGAGACTGCTCGACTACGAGATCCCCTGAACCCTTGGAGTAATAGCTATTTCAATAATTTTTCTCGTCTTTCAGCTTACACAAGAAACACGCACACACACACACACAGGCATACATACACACACACACACATACACACACAACCATAAACACGCATGGGTGGCAGTGAGCGCTTACAATGAGAACTTAATTGCTTAATAACTTTTTTTGTGGACATACGATCTTCATGAAACTTTCAGATTACGATTATAACATGAATATGCATGTATGTATTTGCCAAAGCACAAGTCTCTAGTATTTGAAATACGCTTTTTACAAAAGTGAGGGGGTGAATTTAGGGGTGGGCGTAAATTTTAACAAAAACCGAATTTGTATATTGGACACTTGATCCTGAAGTTCAGGGTATAATAAAAAGCAGACGTGAATAGTTCATAAACCAGCCAGAGATAAGATATAAGATTATCAGTGATAAACAATGTTTATAAATTGTCCAAATTTTGCAAGGAATAGTTCAGTTCGAATTGTGAATTGTGAGCGATAAACACAAGATGTGGCTACGAATACTTATATCACTGGTAACTAGAGCTGCTAGCTAAACCTATTTAAAGAAAGATAGTTATGTATAAGTCATTTCTCAATAGATATTGGTGCAATATCTGAATGCCGAGTGCGATGTTTGTCAGACAAACAGGGCTGCCTGTCATTCCCAGAATACTTATTCGATCTGCATCAATGGTAATTATGCATATGACATAACTATTTATCGAATGGCTCACAAAACCCGTTCTGATCGAAGGTGAGGCATCAAAAAAAGTTATTACCTGTCCAACCAATTACGTTTGTACGGGAGGAAAATATATATGTTATCCGGAAAGCCACAATGATCCCATTTGTAAACCTGTAGTCGATCTGAATGCATATTGCAATGCTATCGGAAAGGCAACCAGCTATGAAAACAAGGATGATCCCACCTGCAAAAGGTGAGCAGCAGCATCAAGCGCAGTAATGAAATCTATAATGTATTTTCCTTTAGTTTTATTTATTGTTACGAAAATGGTACTACTGGTCAACTACTAGGACGAATATACCAGTGTACAAACCCAAACAAACCCTATTTCAATGGAGTTCAATGCGATGCCGTGAAACCAGATTCCTGTACATAATTTTACCAATCTTGTTTTTAATAAAAACAAAAAATATGCCAATAAAGATTGTTTTTCTCCGAATTTTCTTTATCTCAGATTAAATAAAATATTTCTCATCTCCTTTGGTTTATGATTCTGTCAAGGTTTACTGCAGTCAACAATTTCTTTATGTTATCTAACCCAAGGTAGTACTCCTTATCTATGCTTATAAATGTGTATATAAATCAAGCGTTCCATCAATTTTGGCCAGTTTTACAAATTTGCTGCTCCACTGCACATGCTCCAGAAATGTTTCAGTTGTCAAAGATCGTTAGTATTGTTAAACCGTGTATCTGATACACAAAATTTACTAAAATTCCTGTATATTTTTTAGGCAGCTTTTCTTCTAGTTTCCCTAGCACTGCCCCAGAATTTACTAGCTCAGTGTGATGTCTGCCAGACTGACGTTCGAGCTGCTTGCCATAGTGAAACCACATTTTCGATTTGCATTAATGGTATTCATATATATTTATATATTATCTACAAAATCACCAATTAATAGTATATTCATTGTTCAGGCGCTCCATCTAAGGATTATATAGAATGTCCCAAAGACTATCATTGCACTGGCGGTAAATATATATGCTATCCGAAATCGACTGGTGAGGCGAATTGTGTTCCTAATAACACCCCTCGGGATCCAGACACTCTCTGTCAAGAGACCCAAACAACTAACCAATTGACAAATGAATTGGACCCCTCATGTGCTACGTAAAGAGATCGATTTTTATCGATATATTGAATATATATATATATGTTTTATATTTCTTATAGGTATATCCAGTGCGCGCTTGTCAATGGAGTCTGGAGGGGTCGTGAACTGAAATGCCCATCAGAGACGTGGTTTAACGGCAAGTTCTGTACGTCCCCTAAACCAGACCTTTGCACTTAAGCAATTTGCATGCATATCAAAATTTTGAATATGTATACTACATTATTAACCTATATTTGAGGTTTTGTTAACGTCAATATATCCTTTTTGACCATTCATATAAATAAACATACAAATAAAAGAGAAATTCTGGTTGTTTCGATCATATATATAAATATATAATGTTAATAATAATACTAATCGTACCAATAAAAGAATACAAAACTGTAATCAATATACATAAATAAATCCTTCTTATTATACAATATTATATTTTTTCTTGTTTTTAACATGTTTCTACTCATGCTTGCGAAAGTTAAATAAAATTCAATGTGTCAGCAGTCAGCAGGTCGCTCAGTTTCACACTGACTTGTCTCCGAGTTAAAATATTCGTCAGTGTTGCAATGAAAAAGCCAACCCAGGGTATCTCCCGACAATTTGTAACAGTTCACATAACTGTAAGACGTAAATAAATAAATATAGTCAGCAATATGCACCAAGAGACACGCATCTTACTCTTTGCAGGTGGGATCACTCGGGACCCTAAAATATCCTTCTTTGTTGAGACTCAAACAGTATGCATCGGCATTGAATTCTGGCACCTCTGTACTTGTGGGCTCTGAGCTCGACTCCTGCGTGGACCCGGAAGACGGTGCTGTCGAGGAATCGGGGTGTGAAACTGTTGTTGAAGGCTCTGGAGACTGCGCGGTTGACGAATCAGGCGGCGAAATTGTTGTTGAAGGTTCTGGAGACTGCGCGGTCGAGGATTCAGGAGGAAGAACTGTGGTTGAAGGTTCTGGGGACGGCGCAGTGGAAGAATCTGGAGGTGAAACTGTGGTTGAGGATTCTGGAGGCTGATCGGTTGAGGATTCAGGAGGAGATACTGTAGTTGAAGGTTCTGGAGACTGCGCAGTGGAAGACTCAGGGGGTGAAACTGTAGTTGAAGGTTCTGGAGACTGCGCAGTGGAAGACTCAGGGGGTGAAACTGTGGTTGAAGGTTCTGGAGACTGTGCAGTGGAAGACTCAGGGGGTGAAACTGTAG